AGGGGAATATACTATAGTATATCCCCACATAACTGGTGAATTTCATTTAAGATGGGGATCCTGTAGGCCTGGACCTGTAGCTGCTGGAAACATTTGTGATTTAGGTCTTTTCACTTCCTGGTTTCAACTCTCAGCCATGTACTATGCTAGCCCATCTTTCAAAATATTGTGTGTGTGTGTGTGTGTGTGTGTGTGTGTGTGTGTGTGTGTCGCACAGCTTTGTGGAGTCAGATTCTCCCTCTCCCTTTATATAAATTCTGAGGATCAAAACACTTTTCCCCACTGGGCCATTGCTCTGACCCCTACACATGGTTCTTTTTGAAGCCTCGAGACAGAGCTGAGATTTATTTTAAGAACGGCCAGATGGATGGGCAGCAGCTTCTCTAGAATTATGTCAACAGGTTCGAAATACTAAGCCTCTATTTATAAAATCTCTGGTGAAATAATTGATTGCTATGTCCTCCCTAAACTCATAAAAAGAGAGCCAGCCTTCTACCTAGAGTTCGATCTGAAATGAAATGGCACAATACAGGTAAAGTACCCAGTAGGTTTAAGGTTTGAGTATGAGTGCTCAATAGATGTCAGCTGGCATTATTTTATTAATCAAGTCCTTTTAGGAATGGCATGTGGCTCTTAGCTCTAGTAAGAGAGTTAAGGTTATGCCTGCCTTGCTGTATGTCTGTGCACATGTTCTTGCATATGAGGTCATACTCATGCATGCATATTTTAGGGCCAACATGCTATAAGGCTGTTAGGTAGAAATTTAGCAAATAAGCATGTGAAGCTCCCTTTATTTCTATTTTTGGTAAGCCATGTATGCATACATATTTGCATGTGCATTATGTCGATTCCTTCTTTCAGTTATGCATGAGAAGTTAAAGTGGCCTTGCCTTGGAAACACGTAAGTGACATAAGCAGTGGCAGTGGTATTGCCATGAATAATGAAAACACTTAGGAGCTTTATAGTTTTATAGTTTTTAAAAGAAAGCCCCTTTATAGTTTTTCTAATGTCGACGTATATTTCTTATTGTGTGTGTCACAAGTTGGTCTGAGCAGGAAGATGGTAGCTGAAAATGAGAGATTCCAAATCCCTGACATGGGCAAGTTATGTTTGTTTCTAATTTTCAACAACAAAACAAAAACACCTCAGAAGGAAGTGATGTGATTACACTACCTTTTCAAGGAAGGTTGTGATTCACTAGTGAATGCCAGTGAAATAATAGGACAAGAAAAATGCTAAGAGATACCCCGAAACTTTGTATGTTATGATAACTGAATGCAGTTGAAATACAATTTCTCCCAAGTTTGTGTTCCTCCTTACACCCAAACTGGGTTGTGAAGCCAGCACTCACATTCAGATCATTGATATACAGAGCTGAGGCCCAGAAAAACAGGAGGCCTACAATTCAGGAGCTTTCTAATGAAAGCCAGAGTGAAGAGTTGGAGTGATGTCACAGTGTTACAGGAAGCAGCTGATACAGATTGCAGTGAATTTGGGACTAGTGAATTGATTCAGTTCATCTGTGACTGGAGAGACCTCTGAACACAGGCCAAGGATTTACTGCCACTTACTAGCTTAGCGATCCTGGGTAAATCATTGATCTTTGGTTTCCTCCTTTGCAAAATGGTTGCTTATCCCAGCTCTTTTATTTATAACGCATGTGGTTGAGATACAGAGATATGGATATCAAGAGGTGTGATAGCTCTTGCCTGTAATTCCAGCACTTGGAGGGCAAAGACAGGAGGGTCGTGGATTTGAGGCTAGTCTGGACTACCTAGGGAGACCATGGTTCAAACAAAGAAATGAAAACAAAGAAAGAAATGATCATGAGCTAGCCTCATGTAGGGAAAATAAGACTTTCTGTGTGGGTTCAAGTTAGGTGACCTTTAGTGTCAGCTGCCTCTGAACCCTTTCTTTGTGCCCTCTAGGGCTTTTCTTGGTATGCTGACAGTGTGCATTATAGGATTTTATGGCATAAGTTAAGGAACTTCCTTAGAACCACTAAAGAAATATAGACTAGCCTAACAGAGAGAAATTAGTGAATTCATTGTTTTGGTACCATGCAAGCCTTTAAGCCTCAAATGCAGAGATTTGGTTGAGGTGAAATCAGATGATTCTGTTTCAGGTCCTAAATCTGTTGAATAGTCTTTTCTCTAAGACTACATCACTATGGCCTTTGACATTTTATACAGTGTTGGGCTAGGTGTTACATTTTACATTTAAAAAATATTCATGTGGTTTATGTATACATATGTGCCTAGGTGTGTGTATGTGCACCATGGGTGCATGCAGGTGTTTGAGAAGGCAGAAGAAGATGTTAGGTCCCCTAGACTTTACAGGGGATCATGAGCCACCCTATGTGGGTGCTGTGAACTGAACCCAAGTCTTCTGCAAGAGTGGCAAGTATTCCTAATCACTGGGCCTTATTTACATATAAGTTTAATTTTTTTGAGAATCCAATGAGATCTAATCATAACTAACCTCCAATTTCCTCCCATCTGTCCCACATCACCCCAAATACCCTCTCCCAATTTCATGTCTTCACATTTTTGGTAATCCACTAAGTTCAGTGATTGCTCTTCAAATCTGCATGTCTGTGGGGCTATTCCACTGGAGAATGGGGAAACTACCCATAGCCATACCCTCAAAAGAGAATGATTCTCCCTCCCCTATCAACTATTCATTGACAGTAGCTCCTCTTCATTTGGGTTAGCCTTTCCCCTCACCCCCTAAGCTCCCCACTACTCCTATACCCCTCCCTGCTTAAGCCTTCCTGCCCATAGTATTTTACTTCACTACTTCATTTTACATATAATCTACTCCCCTCCTTCCATTAATAATCCTATCAAAAGTTTATGGCTTCAACTAGAACCCTTTGTGGCTTTTGTTGGTAAGTTACCTTGGTCCAGATTTGGTGGTTTCAGTTTTCAGACATTGGTTATTTTGTATCATGCTTAGAGTTGTATCTTCACAGTTCATTTCAGCATAAAATTAGATAATGGAGGGGGGACTAATGAGATGGCTCAGTACATAAAGCACCTGCCGCTAAGCTGATGACTTAAGTTCAATGCCCAGGATCTACATGGTGAAAGGAGAGAACTCACTTCCACAGGCTGTTTTCTGACTACCATGTGCACACTGTGGTGCATGTGTAGTTCTTCCATCCCTTGCAATGAAATAAAATGTAAGAAAAATTAGAAAGTGAAAATTTATAAATTTATAGAACTTCATCTTAAGGTATGTATGTGGGGAAGGGGGCAGGGGAAGAATACCATGATTGCCTTGTCACTCGGATTTCCTTTGCTAGAGTGAGAACTGTGTATGTTTTACAATGTCTAGAACTTGATTTTTCTTCTTTAGTGTTGGGAGCTAAGGAGCAGTAGTGGTAGTTTTTTGTTTTTGTTTTTTAAATAGAATCTTAATAAATAGCCTACATTGGCCTCAGCCCTCTGAGCTCTGGGATTACAGTTGTGCCCATCATATCCAGTTTTGTGGCTGCATACGTTTCACTGAGATGCCAGTCCTCTAGCCTTGTTCTTGGGGAAGCAATATGCAATGGGTCTTGTGGCCCACACAGAGCCAGGCCCTCCTTACAAGGTTGTGTGACTCAGTCAGCTGACAGGACACATTGCTAGCCTAGGATGTGTCTGTGGGCTCTATGTTTTTCTGATTAAGATTCAGTAGCATTGACTTTGCACAAAAAGGTAGAGATCATTAGTGTAGTAGCTGAAGATGTGATTAGACAAGATATTGATTCTGAACTTCTGCCCTCTTCTTGGTGTTCAACCCTGTTCTTCCTTGGGGAGGTACACACTGAAAAAAAATGAAATCGAGAACTAGGGCTTTTGAAAAATATTGATCAGGGAGCCCATAGATGTAGTAGTTCCAACACCTTCCCTTTTGTGTGATGTCATGCTGGGGGTAGGGCTAATGTGCCCTGTAATCACCCCTACAGGGACTTCCTTTTTCAGAGAAAAGCTAGAAAAGAAACAGTGTCTCCAGAGGCAGTACCCAGAAATAATGCTGACCTTTCTAAATGTACTTCTTTGAAGTCGTTGATCCTGTTGATTGTTTAGGCCACATAGTGGCCTGAAGGAATGGTGTGAGGTGGTCAGCTGTGAGTGAGCCATGCCTGTCTCAGTTCTTATATACCTCATATACCTCTCCCTGGCTTCTACACCACTGCTGCATGCCATCCCACATGCATGTTTTTTGGACCACAGTGCATATAGGCAGGATGGATGTTCTATAGACAGTAGCATCTGTATTTGTATCCGCTCCAAGTCAGAGGCTCCCTAGTGGGATCCATTGTGTAAATGACATAGTGTAACCCTGAGTGTCCTCTAAATGAAGTATGGCTCTGATTTTTTAACCTTGATTTGCCTGGGTGGGTTCTGTGGAAGCAGCCAGGGAGCTTGCTAATGCATCCCCTGGGAGACAAATGGCTCTCTTGAACCCTGTGGGACTTTTGAAATGGTACAAAGAATAGCAGGAATCAAATTGGCTTCAGGTTATCAGGCCTGAGGTCCAGTGTGTTGAAAGGGTGACGTTAGTAAGAACAAGGCCAGGACACTTGCTCATTTACTTGGCACACTTGGGGGAAATGCTCTTTGCCTTGCTAGCATCAGAAGTTTGGCATATCACATCAACCTTCATTACAAATAAGCAAGCAGCAACAAATAGAAAGTGCCATCATCTATGGAAGTATGTCTAAGACAACACTGTGCTCCAGTGGGGTTTTGCCTTCTGCACCTATGGATCAGTTTCTCATGCCCATGGGTTTCTGAGCCAGCAGCTTTCAAAACACCAAAAAGCATTGCTCTGCTTTCTAATGCCTCTCTAAGAGACCAGGGCTGCTGTGCCTCTAACCACGCCCCAGAAAGCATATTTGAGATGAATCAGCTTACTTTGCCTGCATGCCTAGGAAGACTCTCTTTAAAACCTTAGTGTGGGATGTGGGAGAAGAACCAGATCTAAATCTTTTGCTTTTCCCATCCAGGAGAGCGACGGAGACGCCGATGCCAGGTGGCATTCAGCTACCTGCCCCAGAATGACGATGAGCTTGAGCTGAAAGTCGGGGACATCATAGAGGTTGTGGGAGAGGTAAGCAAGTAGTTTAGTGACACTGTTGCTTCATGTGGCCATCAGATCCACCTGTGCACCCAAACATGAAGTGCCCTTGCTACAGATACACAGGCTTTGGCAATGGATATTCAATCTTGAAGAGACTCTAGAGATCATCTAGTTGAGTCTCCAAGTAAAATTGGTTTTGACAGAGGAAATCCTTTAGGCCAGGTGGGGTTCAGATGTGGGGCCATCTGAAGCCATTGTCTTTGTAACATAACACATTGAGTACCTTTGAAATTTCAATGTTGTGTCATCAACATTCCTGTCTACTTTACCCAGAATGGTCACAATAACAGGGGTTCATCTCTAGAGTAGGGATTCAGTTTTCATTGTGGATAACACTGCATTTAGAGAGAAAGAAAGTGGCATGTGGCATTTATTAGAAGACCAAATATGTGACAGGTAGGATAAGGTTATTGTTTTGTTTCTGCTCTTGCATGGCTTGGGTCCTGGAACCCACACTAGGGGTGACAAGGGATGAAGAAATGACAAACACAGAGACTTGTAGAAAATCTTGGATTGAGTGGACTGGGCTCTTTAATGGAGAAGCTGCAGATGTGTCCACCCTACTCCATAACTCCCAAACAAATAAACAACCTCCCAACTCAGGGTATTTATTATAAACAATTGATTAGGGAAGCTAGTTATTGCATACAGCTTAACAAGGAAGCAGGGTCATTACATACAGCTTAACAAGGAGGCGGGGTTATCACATATAGATAAATGAGGAGCAGGATTATTTTTATACAGCTGAGCAAGAACATGGGTTTAGCAAATGTCAGTGGCTACAGTATGTAGGGGAGCACTCATCAAGTCATAAACATGGGGGATGGGGAAGACAGCTACAGTGGACATTTTCTGCACCTGTTGTCAACACATCTGTACTCTGTAGGGGAGTAGTCTTCAGGCCTTAAATATGGGGGATGGGGAAGACAGCTACAGTGAACATTTTCTGCACCTGTTGTCCACATTTGTGCTCTGACCAGAGGAAGCCTTTGTCGTTTCTATGAGCCTCAGCATTGGAATCTTTGATTAGGCCATGTTCATGTCAATAGCGCATTAACTCAAGACTTACTCCTCCCTACAGTACTTTCATTGCTATTGTTCTGCTCTGGAACCTTAGGCCTCACATATGAGCTATACTCCTAGCTCTATGATGAAGTTCTTCACATATTAGCCCACTTAATTATCCTGATCACTTTATAGTGTAGATGAGCAAAGACCATCAAGATCTTCCAGCAGAGGCAGGGCTAAGGGGCAAAGCCTGGTCCATTGACTGGGGACACCCTCAATCTCCTGTGCCATTTTCTCTTTTATAATTGATCCTGTCTATCCAAAAGGAGCCTTATTAGAGACACTGGGTAGACTGCTTGGGCTCTACTCCTCAGGCTTTGGGTGTATTGTGCCTTGGACTTAGAACCTCATCATTCTAGTTCAACGTTCAGCTCTTCATATAGAAAGAAATAGTAAGAATAGTAAGTCTTCCACTTGTTTGTATTTCCTGGATATCAGTGGACCATTCAGAAGCTCGTGGTTTATAGAAAACAGGGTGGAAGTCGAGGAGGTCATGAAGTGAGCTATCATGTGGGGAGAAGTGGCAGAACTACTAGCAGAAGCCAGGTTCCCAGACTCATTGAAACATAACCTTGCCTCAACCCACCCGTAAGAGACCTATAAGATGGGAAGGTTGGCTCCAAGAGAACTATGAAAGAACAAAGCTTTGCTAAAGATAGAAGGGATGAGTAACTTCATGAAGATGGCTGACTTACATTCCAAATCCTGTAGTGACCAGTTTAGCAATTACTGAGACCTTTGGGGTTCTCTTTTTTAGAGGATAGATGATTTGCATCTCTTATAGTACCTTTGTTTTTATTACAGCCTGATAAGAATCACTTGCATTGCTTTTGTTTTTCTAACTTGTCAAACAAAGATATGTATCTCTAGAGAAGCAATTAATGGGGTTCCCACCATGGCACTGGGAGACTGTGCTTTAACCCCCTTTGTGTGTTTCTAAGTTTTGGATAATTTGTGCTAATATGTTACTCAGTCTTTAAAAAATATCTGACATCAAGTAGGGCACATAGGAAACATTTATTGAAAGTTAAATGAGTAAGTAATGAATGGATAGTTGAGCAGAACATCATTTAACGATGGGCAAACTTCTTCAGATCAGACCTATGGAAGAAATTCTATGATAAAAAAGTAGATGTGACTAATAAAAATGTTAAAAATTGGTGTATGATTTGAGGTAATTAAACAAAGAGAACAACAAATAGGAAAAAACTGTAGTAAGTTATAAAATGTAACGTGAAAAATATTTTAAGGTGCCAGGTAAGGTGGTATATACTTTTAATTCCAGTACTCTAGAGGCAGTAGAAGTAGGATCTAATGAGTTCCAGACCAACCTGGTCTATATAGCAAGTTCCAGGCCAGCTAGAGCTGTATAGTAAGACCCCATCTCAAAAAAACAAACAAATAAAATTATGAGTAATAAAGATGGAGTTTCTGTTCTGCCAGGTCCTGCCTGCCGCCCTTCAGACTCAAATAAGCACATGGATGCTATATTAATTTATAAATTGTTGACCAATGTCTAGGGCTTCTTACTTGTTATCTCTCTCTTAATTATTAACCCATAACTACTAATCTATGTATTTCTACATGGCTTTATTTTATCAGAGAATGCCTGGCACATCCTATCTTCTTGGTCTCTACATGGCGTCCCTCACAGTCTCTCCCTCTGCCTTCCTCACCCCAGAATTCTTCTGATTTGGTCTCCCCACCTGTGCTTCCTGCCTGGCTATTGGCCAAACAGTGTTTTATTTATCAACTAATAAGAGAAACATATATATAGAAGGACATCCCCCGTCAGAGAAAGCTATTAGAACAGTGCCAAATGATACATGAATTTGCCATAAATGCACATCCCACAAGGGAAACTAGTATTTTTATTTTTGTTGTTCTTTTGAGACAACTATTTACTGGGTAGCCCAAGCTGGCTTTGAGTGTGGGTTCCTCTTACCTTAGTCTTCTGGGTGTTAAGTTACAGGCATGTGTTACCATGTCTGGCCCTGAAGAAAAATTTTAACTATGTGAAAATATACTACCTTGCTATTTATTAAAGAAGTTTAAACTAAGATAATAATTAGTAGATTTTGGCTCATTAAAATCAAAGAAAATATCTACTGGTCAAAATGGTTAGCAATGCCTGGTATAACTGATGAATTTGTATAGCCGTATGATACTTACATGAAGGTATGCCAATAGCTATAAAATATGAATAAAACTATGACTGGTTTCATTCCTAAGAATTTATCTGCAGAAAATGGTTAACAAAAATGTACACAGAAAATGTGTTAATTTCAACAATTTGTAATAATGAAAAATAATCAAGAAAAATGAATTAAGTTGTATTATCTAGCTAGAAGACATGAAGCCATTAAGATGCTTCACACAGAGCCCTTTAAATATTGATTTATTATGATGTTTTACATTAGAATTGTAATTATTAGCTGGGAGTATTTCAATGGCAGAGACCTGGCTTTTATATGTCTTTGTATTTGTGGTACCTGAAATACTTCCTGAATCCTAATATGTACCTTGATAAAATGCTTGCTGAATAAGTAAGTGAATAAATGGAACTATAACACAGCTTGTTGCAAAATAAACAGATTAGAACAGAAAATTGCACACACTAGGATAGAATCATGTGAAAAAGATCTATGTACATGTGATCCAAGATTGGAAGGGAAAAATAACTGCAAATGGTCTTGTCATAGAAGATGATTTTTCCTTTACTGTCTGTAGTGGCATCTTGAGGTAATGCCCACACCTTAGGGTGTGGCTTCAGTGTGCAGAAGAGACCCCTTATAAGGAAGATTCATTTTTGCTCACTTGCAGATGGATTCTAGGCTGTACTTGCAGTTTGCTTCAACAGGAAAAAGGAAAAAGAAAGCCATAGAGTCTGAAGGCTAGCCATTTAATCTGTATTTTCAAAATTATGTCAAGAGTTCGCTACTGTTTCAGTTGATATCATAGATGTTTTTTGTCATTATCAGTGTATAAAGAAAGATCTGTCCTTTAATAATGAATGTTGTATTTGTGCTTATGGGCATGTCTTCTCTGATTCTACTAAAGCAGCAGTTTTCAACCTCTGGGTCAAGACCCCTTTGGGGTTGCATATCAGATATCCTGCATATCAGATATTTATTTACATTATGATTCATAACAGTTGTAAAATTACAGTCATGAAGTAGCAATGAAATGATTTTATGGTTGTGGGTTAGCACAACATGAGGAACTGTATTAAAGGGTCACAGCATTAGGGAGGTTGAGAACCACTGCACTAGAGACTGAAAAAATGTCACAAGTAAACAAAATCCTTTAAGTCACAGTGAGAGATGAATGCAAGAATACAATTAAGTTTTGTGATACTGTTGAATCAACCAATCTGTTAATGAAAGTACTAAGTATTGAACTGTAGAGATAACTCAGTGGTTAAGAGCACTGGCTGCTCTTCCAGAGGACCTGGGTTCAATTTCCAGCATCCACATAGTGGCTCACAACCATTCATAACTCCTGTCCCAGGGGATCCAGTGCCCTCTTATGGCCTCCAAGGGCACTAGGCATGTACATAGCATACAGACAAAACACCCATACACATAAATAAATAAATTAATATTTTAAAGAAAAAATAATTGTATCTTTAAATATTATAATTGCATCTTTATTTATTAATAGTATTAGAGTTGTTTACACAAAAATGCAGTCTATCTTTTTTTGTCCCTGACAGAAAGTTCTTAGAATTTTGACTGTGTAGGTTTTAAGGAAACAATTGAGTCACAGAATTTAAAAAATTATATATGTATCTTAATATCTAATATTATAATCTATATTCATTTTCAACACAGTGTCATAATAGAAGGTCAGACCCTTATCTAATATTTATTTTATTTGTGTGTGTGTGTGTGTGTGTGTGT